CAAGTTCCCCACTTAGACTGTACTCTACCAAGGCGAGGCTTAGCTGCTCTGGCCCCCAGCCTTGGCCTAGTTCCAACTTCAGTAAAACAAAAAAGTGAGAATTAAGTTGAAGAGAAAGGAGGGAAAAGCCTGAGAAAGGTAGGAAAAGTTAATGCTAAGAAAAACTAAGTGAAAAACTGAAGTAGAAGGTAAGGAAACATTAAAACAATTTCAGTAATTGTTCAGTTGTTTCATTTGTATCCTCTTTGTGATCCCATTTGGGGTTTTCTTGGCATAGAAACTGGAGTGATTTGCTATTTCCTTCTCTGGCTCATTTTCCAGAAGAGGAAACTGAGGCAAACAGAGTCAAGTGACTTGTCCAGGATCAAACAGCTGGGAAACGTCCGAGACTGGATTTGAACCTCGGTCTTGTTCACTGGAGGTCTAGCACTCTATCCACTGCACCACTTAGCTGCCCCAATTACAATAATAGTTTCTAGCTTTTTATGTTCACCTTTCATATATAATTGATTTTAAGTCATTTAATAAATGTTAGTTGCATTGTAATCATAATTTATTATTGATATTAACATTATTTGCTATTAACATTATTTGCATATATACTCACTGTGAACATCTTAGAATATGTTCCTGCCTTCTCAAGTTCACAGAGCAAAGGCTGTCCAGAAGTATTGTCATTTGTATGTTCTCTGAGGCTGTTAAACACCCACACCTCTAAATTCATGGTTTTATATTGAATCTATTTTAATGCTGTTCTGTGTACATGGAAATGTTCTTTTATCTTTTTGTGTCTAAGTTCAAAATGAATAAAAATTGAAAGAAGGCCAAAAAAAGGGGGAAAAGGCTACTTCCCTTGAAACACACACACACACCCCACCTTTCGTAATTTCGTGATTTTGAAAGTCTCACTCACTCTAGGAAAGAGCCAATTCAAGATCTTCGAGGAAGCTTCATTATGGACTTATGATCCAAACCCAAGAGGCTATTAAGATTACTGAGGTCAATCTAGAGCTACTTACAACCTTCCCAGGCAGCTCCAAAAACTCTAAAACCAATTTAGGCTCTCTCTTCTTGGGCTGAGCATCCCAGTGGCCTTGACATTCACTAGAATTTCCTGAAAGAGCACACTGGGAAATTCTATAGTAAATAACATTCATTCAACACTTTTTTTTTTTGGCTTTTTGGTGAGGCGATTGGGGTTAAGTGACTTGCCCATGGTCACACAGCTAGTAAGTGTTAAGTGTCTGAGGCTGGATTTGAACACAGGTCTTCCTGACTCCAAGGTCAGAGCTGTATTCACTGTGCCACCTAGCTGCCCCCATTCAACACATTTTTACTAAGTGCTTATTTACATTTTTTTTTAAATGAAGTACATTCATGGTACCTCCTGAGCCTTCTCTTTTCCCTCTGGGTTGACTCATTAATCCACTATCTATATCTATATCTATATCTATATATAGATATATATATATGTGTATATGTCTATATATATATACATATATACATATACATACATATACATATACACACACACACACATGTGTGTGTGTGTATCTGTCCTCATTCTGATAGGAATGGGTGGCCACTATGCTATAAGTCATTTTCAGGGGCCTAGGAGTAACCCTGGAGTGTGAGGATGAGAATATACTCCCACTACTCACAACTATACCTCCTAACTCCTAACCAGGGTGCTTATTAATCTAGAAATCATTGAAGGTGACTTAAATGACTCTTAAACACTTACCAAACAGAAGGTAGAGCAAGAATAATTAAAACATAAAATTCCACCCATAAACCTATGACACACTCTCCTACCAGTCCACAGTATCTGTGGGGGAAAATGGGCAGATACTAACAAAGTCATAGCATGGAGCCACAAGAATAGAGGACACGTATCCACAGCAGCTCACAACTCTGGCTTTGATGTTGTTCTCCCTCCCGAGCAGTCTGCAAATCATTGACAGGCTGGCCACTCTTTCTGAGCTTCTCTACTCTCTTGCTTGGCATGGCCACTTCAACTGGCTGCTTTTCTTGGACTACTCTTCTGGGCTGCCAAGTCAGTGTAAAACTCTTTCAACATAAGTACCCCCAAGGCTGGGATCTGCAGAGTTTTTCCAGGTTTTCTCCCTTGACTGGGCTCTGGGGTGTGTATGTGTGTGTGTGGGGGGGGGGGAGGTTGGTTTTACTTCTCAGGAAGTAGGAAGCAATACAGAGAAAGGTAAAAGTAGATATCATCTTCCTCCAACCAACAAAGCTTTCCCCTCCAATTTAACTCTTCTAAGCAACAAAGGTTTTCTTTCAATCAGCTGGAAACTTGGGTCTTCTCACGATGCAGATTTGAGGACTGTTCTCAGACACACTTGGAGGTCTGGTTTTGACAAACCCTACTAACTTCTTTATGCGAAAGGACTGACATCTCTCTTACGGGAAACAAAAACCCACATTTCTGTTAGCCAAGACACAAATATTTATGTAAGACATACACACATACACAATTACCCTATAGCTACCTAATTGTTCTAAGTATCAGCATTTCCCGGCTTTTTAATCTTAAAGGTTTCATGTCAGTCATGTTTAAAGTATATGCTAGGATATCAGATACTTTAGCCATCATTACTCTGAGTTTCTTTTTTCTATGGGGCTACTTTTTCAGATTTTTTTCATATAACTATCTGTTTCTGTTCTCTTTTAATCAATAATATTGTCCCAGTTAGAAAGGAATATTACTTTACATTTATTATGAACTTAATGATCATGCCTGCCTCCTTAAGAACAAAAAAGAGTTAAAGCAGAAACTGATCATTGGTATTTCAAATTCAGAAGGTTTGGGGCCACAGTAACTTTGGATTTGAAATATGTAGCATCCACTCTTTTCTCATTGCGCCTTTAACCTTTTCACGTTTCTGCCTTCAGCACTACAATAAGCTAAACAATTTTCAAATGCTGACTTTTTGGATTATTAAAGGAGAAGTACATTTAATCTATGTACGGTTTTCGAAAACCATAGAGACTTTGGCACAGGGAGAGAGATGGGGAGTCAATAGGTAACAACAGGATTTTTTTTAGGATCTCTTTTTTACAGCACTTTGCCAATCTCCATGATTATGTCACATATGTGCCACTGGGGACTGAGGTGTAAAATTTAATGCATTTCTAGAATAAAACCCAGTGGCGAATTATGTGTTATTAACACAGTGGCAAAACATGTAGCTACAACACTGTTAATATAAGGCTTGTAGCCATGTTTTCATACAGAAGTGAACAATTTTAATTGAAATGGAAATTTACAGTGTTTTTAATATTCTGGCTTTAGTTCTGTAAGGATTAATCCCATTGTTGAAAAGCATGTAAATAAGGTTGGAGGTGGTGGTGGAATTTTTAATAGTGCTATTTGTTGCTAAAGATTTGTTTTTACAAAATAAAAATTCAGGGTGTTAGATGTGTATACAGCTTTTACAAATCAACAGGGATGATTGTATAGGAATGTAACTTTTCAGACTAACTGGGTTTAAGATTATATGCAGTTATCATGGTATATGGTGTGAGATATTGGTCTATACCAAGTTTCTGCCACATTTTTCCAGTTTTCCCAGCAGTTTTTGTCAAATAATGAGTTGTTGTTCCAAAAGTTTAGATCTTTTCCTGTTTTGCATTTAAGTTTTAGTATTTCAGTTTAAATAAATTTTAATAAAAAAATAAGAAAATAGCATATTCATGTCAGGTCTTTGCCTTTGAGAAACTTTGTCCACCAGACTCTGCTTGGCAATGCTTATCATTTGTTCCTCCGAGTCGCTCTGAATAATGATTTTTTTCCTTCTATTTCTCTAATTTGCTTTTTTAAAATCCTTTTTAAGCTCCTCCAGGAATTCCTTTTGGGTCTGAGCCCAAACTAGATTTTTCTTTGAGGCTTCGCATGTAGCAATTTTGACACTATTGTCCTCTTCTAAGGTTATGCTTTGATCCTCCCTATAACCATAGTAACTTTCTATAATTAGGCTCTTTTTTTGTTTTTTGCTCATCTTTTCTGCCTTTTTATTTGTGTGTGTGATTTGGTGTTTTTATGTGAGAGTTAGGCTCTGGTCTTGTACTGTCCTAAGTTTTTTGTGCTAGGGCTCTGGGTCTCACTGCTGGCTTTCACTGGGCTTTCAGGCTTAGTTGCTTGCTTTCTCTGGAGGAGATGCTTCTCTTCTGGCTTGTACTGGGGGGTGGGGCCTCCCTGTATATGGGGTTTAGCTGCTGGCCTCTTCCGAGGGTGGGGCCCTGCTGTTGGGCTGCTATGTAAACAAGGTCTCTTGGGGGTGGTAGGCCCCCGGGATGGGTCTCACTGTTGGCCAGTCCTGGGGTGGGATTTCACTACTGGTCAGCAGTGAGGTTAAGGACTACTTGGTGTTTGTGCTGAGGATGGGGCCTTGCTGCATTACACAAACTGCTCACTTCCATACAGAGCTGCTGGCTTGCAGGAGGATAGGGCCTCACTGGTAGATTGCCCCAGGCTTGGAGCCTTGCTGCAAGGCCCCTCCTATGAGGCTGGCTGCTGCTGCTGCTCTTGGACCTTGCTTCCCCTCCCACTCCAGTGAGAGACCTTTCCTGCTGGGCTGGTAAGCTGTTTCCTGGCTCCTAAATCAATTCTGAGCTGGCTTCCTAGTTGTTTGGAGGAGAATTTGGGAGGGCTCCAGAGGGTTCCTTCCTCACTCTGCCATCTTGGCACCAGAAGCCATGCTGAGAGCAATTTGGAACTATGCCCAAAGGGCATAAGACTGTGAATACTCTTTGATCTAGCAATACCACTGCTAGGTCTATATCCCAAAGACACCCCCCAAAAAAGGGAAAAGGACAATTTGGACAACTTCTGGGTAATAGGTCTGAACAGCCCTACTAGCCCTAAAGCTAAGGTAGAGGGAAGGAGTAGATCATGGGAAGTGAGGAAATTGTTCATTTCCACCAATACTTCCCCATCCCACGCAAGGCAGCAAATTTACCAAAAAGAAACATGTCTTAAATATCTTTATTTGACTGGTTTTCGCTACAGTTTTCATCATTTAACAATAGAAAATCATAATACAGTCACTACCCAGTATCAACTGCATCTCAGTGAGAGGGGAGGATGCAACAATTCCAGTCCAACTCAGTTGCCCCCATGGGACTGTTCCATTTCAACACTGCAAGAGGAATGGTTTCTTTGGGAATGCTACAGTTCAATTCCCTTCTGCCAAATTTAAAATTTTCACCTCAATCCTTTTTAAATATATTGGGAAATCCTAAGACATAAACTGGGGGCCCCTTACCTACATTTCTCTTTTACTCATTTGCAACAGATGAGCAAGCATTTAGAGAAGAGAGTACTTAATAATTTCTACAAAGTCCCTATTTAGGACAAGGAAGAATATGGGAAAATATTAGGTTCTCTGCTTCGTCCCTGAGAAGGCCAAAAATAAAAGCACTATTAGGACCTGACTCAAGTAATATTTACTCTAATACTAATGGAATTCTGTCCATTTGACACTAAGTCATTGAGCTGGCTACAAGAACCTAGTTCCCAATTTCACTGAATCCCTACATAATAGGAAAACCAAGGCACACAGATGGGGAAAAACTAGTTACTAATTACTTAGTTTACAAGAACAGAATTCAGTAGCCCTGGCTCCTAATCTTGCTTCTTTTATGGTAGGGATACTAGGGCATAGTGGCAAGGGGATCTCAATAGGTTATAGGTTAATGACCCAATTGACTAAAAATACCCTGAAATATCTTGCCTCAAAATCCATTGTTTTCCAACACTCTCTTACACTGCTGCTCTAGACTGTTTGATCTAGAAGAGGACAAAACCCTTAGTTCTAGATCTCTTACAGCCTTGTGACAACTCTTTACTGGTCAAATAAGATTTACCTAGTGCTCACTTATGATTCACTTTGTGCCACACTCTACAAGAGTTAATTTTCAAGGAAGAAGACTGCTCAAGTTTAAACTGTTGTTTTTTGCCTCAGCTCGTTCCCTCACAAAAAGCCAGGGCCACCACACTATTCTTCAGCAGGATCATTTTATCTCCAAGCTATCTGGGACAAATAGTTTGCCTATACCTAAAATAGCAAGAGAAAATTGCAAACTTAACAAAAGGTCTAGCTGCAAGATTTTAGGTTTATTTTTTCATTAAAATTTATTCTTAGGATTAATCTGAACTATTCCTGTCTTACCTTAAATAAAAAATTCTGTTTTCTTTCCATCCTTGGTGCTGTTTTTCACTGGGAAGATCCATGACCTGGTTGGTTTGAGTCTTTTCATCTTCCAAGCACAGTGACCTTAGCTCTTTTGTCCAGAGGTATTGATGATAAACCAAAGAAATTCAACAGCAAACTGATTTTACAAGACCCTAATTGTGATGGGTCAATAAAAGGAAAAGTTTACAACAAACTTCCTCTCATGAGAAAACAGATTTGGGAATTGGAAATGAGTAAATTAAGTCCACATGTCCCTCAGCCTCCCCCCCACCCCATCCCAGGCTTTTCTAGGTCCATTCATGGGTAAATTTTTTCTCAATTTCAGGGAACTGAAAGAGTTTTTCTCTTATGTGTTTTTTCTGATGCTGACTGAGGTAGGCACTACGACTGAAAGATTTCTCACAGTCAGTACATTTATAAGGTTTTTCTCCTATGTGGGTCCTTCGGTGCCTGATAAGGTTAAAGCTTTGACTGAAACTTTCCCCACAGTCAGGACATTTATATGGTTTCTCTCCTGTATGAATTCTCTGGTGGATCACCAGTGTGGAGCTTTGACTGAAAGTTTTCCAGCACTCAGGACATCTATAGGGTTTTTCTCCTGTGTGTATTCTCTGGTGTCTAATAAGGTGTGAACTAAGGTTGAAACTTTTCCCACATTCACAACACTTATATGTTTTTCCTCCTGGCTGAGTTCTCTGGCATTCTACTGAGTTACAACTGTGATTTAACTTTACTCCAAATTCTGTACTCTCATAGGATTTCTCTCTCATGTGTGTTTTTTGGTGTGTAATAAGGTTTGAGTTGCGGCTAAAATTCTTCCCACATTCTGGGCATTTATATGGTTTTTCTCCTGTGTGAATTCTCTGATGCTTTAGGAGGGTAGAGTTACAACCAAAGCTTTTTCCACACTCAAGACATTTGTACGGTTTCTCACCAGTATGTGTGCGCTGATGGCGAATAAGGCTGGAACTCTGACTAAATCTTTTCCCACAGTCAAGACATTTATAGGGCTTTTCTCCTGTGTGGGTCCTTTGATGCTCAATTAGGACATAGCTGTGACTGAAGCATTTCCCACACACAGGGCATTCATAAGGTTTCTCTCCTGTATGAGATCTGTGATGCTGAATAAGATGCGAGCTACTACTGAAACTCTTCCCACATTCTGGACACTTATAGGGCTTCTCTCCTGTGTGAGTTCTCTCATGGATAATAAGGTGCGAGGTATTGCTAAAGCTTTTCCCACATTCATTACATTGATAGGGCTTCTCTCCTGTGTGAGTTCTCTGATGCTGAATCAAATGGGAGCTGTTACTAAAGCATTTCTCACACTCTGAACATTGGTAAGGCTTTTCTCCTGTGTGAGTCCTTAGATGAGTTCGAAGGTGAGAGCTGTTATTGAAGCTCTTCTGACATTCAAGACATTTATGGGATTTGTCTCTTTTGGGTAGTGTCTGATGGGCAGTAATGTCAATGTTTTTTCTGGAGCCCCATTTCCAGGAAATAGATTTACTCTGTTCTTTTCCCATAGGTTTCCCCCACTGAGTTCCTGTCCTGCAGTTATTCTCATGAGTATCTTTCCACTCAAGACTCCAGAACCTGACCCCTTTGTTCCTTCCTAATGGAATTTCTTTAGTATCCTCATGTTCAATGTTTGGGGGAACATCTTTCTCAAACCACTCTGATGGTATATCCTTAGGTTCCTCATCCTTAGGGTATTTCTGGTCAAGAGTTTCCAAATTGTTCTTACTCTCTGAAAGAATAGAAAATATAAAGAGAGTCTCTGTCTTGGATTAAAAACACAATAAACATCAATTAAGCACCTACTGAATGCAGAGCACCGTGCTAAGTGCCAGTGGGAGCTGGGAAGGAGTAAGGAGGCATTAGTAGTTAGAGAAGTGAGAAAAGGCTTTGTGTAGAAAATAATGCTTGAGCTGATTCTTGAAGGAAATGTGAGCTATTACTGTTAATCTAGTAAATTACAACTAAAGAGGTACCATGGAATAGTGGACAGGGCAGCTTTGGAGTCAGGAAAATCTGGGTTCAATTCCTGCCTCTGATATACACTAGCTATATGATATGAGCAATGGGAAATCACTTTTCGGTATTCCAGGGAACTAGGATTAAAAATTACAAGAGTTGCTGACCTGTATGAGTAAGACGTTCCCCACATTCCCCATCATAGATCTGGACAAAAAAAGGGCAACAACTCCTGCTGGTTCTGCTGGTATAAAACCAGATTCATACATCGCCCCAAAGCACAGAAGAGGGGCAACATCTATTAACAACAACAGGGCTCACTGTGAAGCCACAGTCATACCTACTATGAAAATAATAGTCATTCAAACTAGTTAATAGTTTTAGCAAAATTCAAAATGAAAAATCTCACAGAGGTTGTTCTGGGGACTGAGACCATCCTCTATGTCCCTCACCTGTATAAGAGCTTCTCAAAATCTCTTTCTCCTTGGAGCCCTCAAGATTTGGTGCCAACAACTCTTCCCCTTGCTCCATCAGGGAGATCACAACCAGCTGAGAGATCTGAAATCCTGTGAAAGAAGACAGGGAACATCTGCAGAAAATTATGCAAGTTTATCCCTGTACCTTCCCTTGCTCAAAACTGTTAACATTATCAATCACTTAAAATATATTGTGTCCTACACTGAAATTATCAGAAATACTTTCTCTGCTTCCAGGAGACCACTCAAGAAAAGCTTAATCCTTCTAAAAATGTTTAGATCCTAATAACTTGATTTTAAAAATTAATTTGAATTACATGAAATGTTCTAGATTTTCATACATGGTACCTGGAATTAGGGACAAAGGAGGGCATGGAAGAGATTTTTGTAGTTGTACTTCCTCTAGAAATAAGAGGATTATAAACAGTTCCTTTAGAAATTGGAGTATTAAATACACACACACACACACACAAAACACCTCAACAAGAAATTGGAGTATTAGAAAACAACCAAATCTCAGAGCTGGAAGGGATTTCAGAGTCTATCTGATACAATCTGTAGCTGAACAGGACTCTCTTCTTAAAGGTTTTCAACAAGTGATCATCTAGTCTCTTGCTTGAAGACCTCTAGGGATGAGGAATTGTCTACTACCCTAAAGCAAGTTATCCTATTTTTGAACTGCACAAATCATGGCTGTTTTTCCATATATTAAAACTAAATTTACTTTTCTAGAAAAAGTTTCATCTCTATTTCAGATGAAAGTTTTTCAAAGAACTGAAAACCATAATGTCCGACTAAGTTTTCTGTTCAGTAAACATTCCCAGTTCCTAAAGAAAAATCTTCCTATTCCATGGTTCCTGTCCCCTCACCAAAGTCGTCACCCTATTCAGGATGCTCCAGCTTATCACTGGCCTTCCTAAAACGTGGTACCTAGAAACTAGACTCAATACTACAGATATAGTCTGTCTCAAGTGAAGTACAGTTGGATTACCTGTCCAGGTCACTATGTTTCTCTCATGCAGCCTAATATTGCATTTTAGCTTTTTTGGCTGCTATGTAGCACTCTTGCCTTCTAATGATTTTGTAATCAATTAAAACTCCCAGAGTTTTTTCATATGAACTTTTTTATTGTCTTTTTTTCCTACTTTGTACTTATTAAAATAATTTGTCTGAATCTACGTAGGCCTTGACATTTATTTCTATGAAATTAAGTCCACTGTTTTGGATCAGAGCAAGTTTTCTCATTTCCCTTCTATGATCCAAATTATGTGTCACTATGGACCACCAGAGTTCTACTTCAAAATCTCCACATGGCATGGAAGTGCCCTCAGATTCTCAAAGGTCATGTCAACACAGCATAACATCTGGCAGGTTATAGGATAGAAAGGATTTGAGAGTAAGTCAAAGGACCAATTGTACATTTATCTTCCAGAGAACCAACCTTCATTACTGAAGGGCTATCCAAGAGGTGATTTTTTTTTCAGACACTGAAAGTCCTTAAACTCCTGAAACTGCCTGGAGTTCTGATCTGTGTCACTGGAAGGAATACCCAGATTCGTGAAATTAATTGCATCTTAAAGTATGCAAAGTCACCCTATTAACATGGGAAAAAAATTTAACTGCCATGTGAGTTACATAGTTCTAGTAAAATAGTATGCAATTGGAACAAATAATAATACCGACAGTCCTATAGGGTAGGTAGGCACTGTTATTATTCCCATTTTACAAGTTTAGTGACTTGCCCAGTGTCACACAGCTGAAGCAGGATTCAAACTCAAGTACAACATTCTATCCCACTATAACATCTAGCTGCCCTAAGCCATCCCTTGATGAGCTGTTAATTGGAAAGCTAAGAAGTACAAGAGTTTATGCATTGGTTCATTTATTCAATAAACATTTATTCAGCACCTAGCCATGCAAGTGGAAATATAGACAATCAAAACTTTGGGCAAGTCACTTAAGCTTTCTAGATCTTAGTTGCCTCAACAGTAAAATTAAGGGTTTGGTCTAGAACGTCCTTTGACAGTTCATATGAAGTTATAGCTTGTTGGGCTGTGCTGGCCAGAGTTGGAAATGGCCTCCGAGATTATTTAGAACTGTTTCTTTGGAGCTCTAAAGGTCATGATTCTAGATCTAAATCTGACAGTTTGGCAAGGCATTCTAAGAAGGCGGTTTGGGCCACACCCTCCGCCCACAACCAAGGACAGCGAAGGCCACGCTCCGTTTCCCGGCTGCGGATGGGCGGTGTGGGAGCACGCGGATCAGGCCGGAGAGCCATAATCCCGGGGACCGCGCGCAGCCTGCACCCGGTGCTGAGACAGCGTCCCACGGGCCTAAGGCTGGTCTCCGTGGCCGCGCGGCTGCGGAGGAGGATGTGGCGGCGGCACGGAGAGGTCGGGATGACCTCCGCCGTAGTCTGGCCCCTGGGAGGGTGGAGCTCTGGAGACTGAAAAGCACCAGGACCTAAAATCGCTTTAAACCGCTCCGGGTGGAAGAAGGCCGGGCGAGGCCCTTCTTCCACGCTCCAGCCAGCTCCCGACTCTACGCCTGTCCTCGGGGCCGCCCCGGAAAGCCTCAGCGAGGCTTCTCCCTCAGGCCGGCCCCTCCCTGCCATCCCTTCCCCCGATCCAGACACTCACTGCTCCGGGGGCAGCGCCCTGGGCTCTCTGTTGCCCCACCGGGTGCGCGGACATCGCGGGGGTAAGGGAGCAGAGAGAAAGGAGCGAGCCCGTTACCCCCGAGCAAGTCCAAAGCCGAGGTAAGGGCGGAGAAAGGCGAGCACCAGGAACCGGAAGTGACGGTAGGCCCCGCCCCCGGCGAGAGTTTGACGGAGCCTCTCTAGGAGGCCGGCATGATTCACGTCTCGTTTTCACTGCTCCGCACCTGTGCTAACTCTGGGTGCTTTTGTCTCTGTCTTCTCTCTCAGTTCTCTGCGGAGCCTGAGCTGTGCAATCATAGCTGATCACTAAACGATTATCAGAGCATCAGCATCCGTGTATCCATTGCTGAACCAGACCAAACCCCTCATGTACAGATGGGGAAACTGAGGCCCAGGGACGTTAAGCGACTTACCCTGGGTCACGAGCAATAAATACCAGTCTTATCAATAAATACTAGCTGATGTTCATAAAAGAACAGGGCTGTGGTTTCAGGCAGCAGTGAACAAGCATTTATTAAGTGCTTCCTAAGTGCCAGGAGGCAGCTAGGTGACTCAGTGAATAGAACGCTGAGCCTGGAGTCAGGAAGACCTGAGTTCAAATCTAGTCTCAGGCATTCACTAGCTATGTGACCCTGTGCAAATCATTTAATCCTGTTTGCCTCAGTTTCCTCATCTGTAAAATGAGCTGGAGAAGGAATGTCAAAGAACTCCAGTATCTTTGCCAAGGAAACCCCAAAAAGGAATGACAAAGAATCTGACATAACTGAACAAGAAAAAAAGTACCAGGCACTGTGGTAGGGACTTTGTCCCCATAAAAGTGGGGACACAAAATTTTCATTTGTGGGGACACAAAAAAAAGTAAAAACATGGTCCGTGCCCTCCAGTAGCCCACACTCAAATAGAAAAAACTGCTTCAGATAACTACCCATAAGACACATAGAGTGTAAAAGGATGATCACCTCAGAGGGGGCACTGGGAAAAGGAGTCCAGCAGAAAGGGGCATTGGAGCTGAGTGGCATGGAACCTCTTGTGCAAGGAACAGTAAGGAGGCCAGTGTCACCAGATTTTGGAGCATGTAGAGGGAAGTCAAGCTTAAAAAGATGCAGTATTGAGAAGGAGTCAGGTTAGGAAGGGCCTTTCTTGCCCAACAGAGAATTTTCTATTTGATCCTAGAGGTAACAGGAAGGTGACATGCTCAGACCTGCCATTTAGGACAATCACTCCAGTATCTGGGTAGAGAATGGACTAGAATGAGGAGAGACTTGAGGCAGGCAGACCCACCAGGATGTGGAGCAGGGACACTCCTCACAGTTCCAGGGCAGAAAAGAGTGTGTGTGTTCACTCACAGACCAGAACACAGGCCAGGAGAGCAGTAAACACACCTCTTCTTAGATCATACCACCTTGGAAGAACTGAAACCTTACAAGTCCCTGCAAGTATCTCTGAAAACAGCTGCAGAAAAGCCCTGAAGCTTGAGATAGTGTGCTCTCCACTCTGGAAGCAGAGCCTTACTTTAACAAAGAGTTAAAAGTAAACACATAGACTGGCAAAATGAGCAAACAACAGGAAAAAAAAACTGTGACTATTAAAGTTACTATGGTGACAAGGAAGATCAAAATACACACTCAGAAGATAAAGGCAAAGTTCCTACATCCAAAGCCTCCCAGAAAAATATGACTCGGTCTCAGGCTATGGAAGAGCTCAAAAAGGATTTTGAAAATCAAGTAAGAGAGGTAGAGGAAAAAATAGGAAGAGAGATGAGAGTAATGCAAGAAAATCATGAAAAAAACGAGTCAACAGCTTGGTAAAGGAGGCCCAAAAAAATACTGAAGAAAATAACACCTTAAAAAACAGACTAGGCCAAATGGTAAAAGAGGTACAAAAAGCAGATAAGGAGAAGAATGCCTTAAAAAGCAGAATTGGCCAACTGGAAAAAGAGGCACAAAAATTCACTGAAGAAAAAACTCCTTAAAAAGTAGAATTGGCCAAGTAGAAAAGGAGGTACAAAAGCTCACTAAAGAAAACAATTCCTTAAAAATTAGAATTGAGCAAATGGAAGCTAATGACTTTATGAGAAATCAAGAAATAATAAAATAAAACCAAAAGAATGAAAAAAATATATAGAAGACAATGTGAAATATCCCACTGAAAAAACAACTGACCTGGAAAATAGATCCAGGAGAAATCATTTCAAAATTATTGAACTACCTGAAAGTCATGATCAAAACAAGAGCCTAGACATCATCTTTCAAGAAATTATCAGGGCAGCTAGGTGGTGCAGTGGATAGAGCACCGGCCCTGAAGTCAGGAGGATCTGAGTTCAAATCCGGCCTCAGACCAAACACTTGACACTTACTAGTTGTGTGACCCTGCACAAGTCACTTAATCCCAATTGCCTAAAAAGAAAGAAAGAAAGAAAGAAATCAAGGAAAACTGCCCTGATATTCTAGAACCAGAGGGTAAAATAGAAATTGAAAGAATCCACCAATCACCTCCTGAAAGAGATCCCAAAATGAAAACTCCCAGGAATATCATAGCCAAATTCCAGAGCTCCCAGGTCAAGGAGAAAATAGTGCAATTAGACAGAAAGAAACAATTCACATATCGTGGAGCCACAGTCAAGATAACACAAAATTTAGCAACTTCTACATTAAAGGATCAGAGGACTTGGAATATGATGTTACAGAGGGCAAAGAAGCTAGAATTACAACCAAGAATCACCTACCCAACAAAACTGAGTATAATCATTCGAAGGAAAAATGGACATTCAATGAAGTAGAGGACTTTGAAGCATTCTTGATGAAAAGACCAGAGCTGAATAGAAAATTTGACTTTCAAATATAGGACTCAAAGAGAACCATAAAAAGATAAACAGGAAAGGGAAGTCATAAGGGACTTAAGGTTAAACTGTTAATATTCCTACATGGGAAGATGATACTTGTAACCCATAAGAATTTTCTCATTATTAGGACAGTTAGAAGGAGTATATATAGACAGACGGCAGAGGTATGAGTTGACTATGAAGGGATAATATCTAAAAAAATTAAAATTAAGGGATGAGAGAGAGGAATGTACTGGGAAAAAAGGAAAGGGAGAGGTAGAATGGGATAAATTATCTAAAAGAGGCAAGAAATGCTTTTACAGTGGTAAATCATTCCAGTATCTTTGCCAAGATAACCCCAAAGGGAGTCATGAAGAATTGGGTTACTGAACAACAATTAATGTGTCAGGCACAGTGCTAATTGCTTGAGATACAAAAAGAGGCAACATTCAGTCCCTGCCCTCAAGCAGCTTACAATCTAATGGAGGAAAAAACACCTCTAATGGAAGAGAGAAGCTGGAAAGTGAAGGGTGGAGGGAAGGTTATCTGTCCACCTCTCATCTTTTCCAATCAGACAGTGAGGGGGCAAGAGGGTGCTGAAGAAGTATGATTAAAGAATTTATTAAAGAATAATGAGTTTCCAGAAATGCTCAAGTCCAGGAAAGTATTTTCCTGGAGATGATGAGAATTCCTTGGGCGTCTTCCTTAAATGGAGGAAGATCAGGGAGGAGTTCCCAGATATCCATCTCCAACTTCTTCAACCTCAGGGAGGAAGGTACCCCAGGGGCAGGAGGTGCAGAGGAGATGTAAGTTTTCCATTTGATTTTATCTTGCAGCGTGATGAATTTCTGGAGATGATGAAGTCCAGGAAAGAAGGAACACAGGTGATATTTTCACCATTGCTGTCTGGGTTTCGGGAGAAAAGAAGAGTTAGGAAGTTTAAAAAAATTGGTTAAGGAGATGATTGTTAAAATGGAATTTTAATTTCTAACAGGTTTTTGGACAGAAATGAAGTGTACTTAACTAGGGCTGGTAAGAATGCATTTGTATTGAATGAACCCGAGGAAGAAAATAAGCATTTCTTAAGTGCCTGCTATTTGCCAGGCACTGTGCTAAGAGCTTTACAAATATTATCTCATTTTATTCTCACAACAACCCTGGGAGGTGGGTGCTGTTATTATTCCCATTTTACAGATGAGGAAACTAAGGCAGATAGAAGTTAAGTGACTTGCCCAGAGTCACACAGCTAGTAAGTTTCTGAGACTGTATTTGAACTCAGATCTTTCTGATTCCAAGTCTAGCTCTGTATTCACCACCCAATCTAGCTGCCTGAAAAAAATTTTGAACTGAAAAGAAAGGGAAAGTGAGAAAATTGCCTATGTATATTAACCCTTCTCTTCTATTCCAGGACTTCACCCATTAAGAAGACTAGGCTAGAATAAAGTAAACTTATTTAACCCCTCCGAAGCTGGCTTCCTGTCTTCCTGTGTGTCCAGATCAAGAGTGAACCTGTCAGAGACTAGAGTCCAAAAATTCCAGGGCCTCCTGTGACGTTACCTGTCCAACATCCCTCCCCCGCCCCACACACACACCTGTTCCTTCTCAGGCTCATTTCTTAGGTCTTCCTCCAGGTTCTGCTCACTAATGGTGGGCCTGTTACTGTCTAGGTCACTGACATTCTCCCAGCCACCCAGGCTCACAACCTAGCAGTCATCTTCAACTCCTCCCTTTCTTTCACACCCCTCCCCCATATCCAAGCCAAGCCAAATCCTGTTGATTCTACCTTTGCA